TCTTGTCAAAATTGCTCAGAGTTAAAACCTAATGTGTAAACTTCAACAGCTCCGATGAAGGTTAATTGGTAGGAAGGTTTGTTTTCACAACACCACCGGTAACTACAAGCACTCGATACTTGTAAGGCACCAAGGATTTTGACCTGAAGGGGAAAAAAACAGGATAAATATTCCACGGTTGTAGTGATCACCATCAGTGCTCAACTATTTTTGCTCTCAGCTGCCAGTGTAGCCCGCTGCCATAGATGGAGCTCTTTATTTAGAGGGTTCAAGAACAGCTTGCTCTCTTACTGTGGAACATAATCACCACATTTGTAAATGTAAAGCAGTTCTTTAAATGTTACCATTCATCTTGAGTTATCATGTTGTCGTTCGGACATCAAGACTCCAAGGCCTGCGCTCTCCACAGCAACCTACCTTCCATTACAGAACCTAAAAGGCTTTGCCACAAAGTAGCAAGTAGCTCTGGGTCCTAATGATGGGATCACAGTGAGCAAACTTACAACAAATGCAGCAGGCATTAATAGCGTGTTAAGTACACAGTCATTTCTCTACTTTGCTCTGACTGTGTTTACTGACTTTTTATGTGTGCCACAGTCATACCAGAAGAGGAGGCCTAAATACACATGCTAGCATCTGAGCAGGTCCTGTAACAACAGTAACCATTTCGTTCTTTTAAATAACTTGTTAACCCCTTACTTACCTTAACCAACCTGCAACCATTACACAACGTTACCACATGTTAAAAAGGTATCTCATACAGATGCTAAATGGTATCTGGGGTGTATGAGACATGCTGAAATTTGTATTTGATTTTTCTGCAGTGCAGATGTTGTAGAATAATATTAAATAATACTTGGCACATAATGATATGTAGTTATTTATTTTGAGTGGATGGAACAAAATCTGAAGTGGCAATACTTTAGAGTAGAGTAGAGGGGGAAAGCAAAGGTTGTTTGGTTACGGAAGAAATTCACACACACTGTTGGCACTGTTGTCTGTTTATCATGTTTTACATGAGTAATTGGTTGTGAACATCAGTATAGTTTCAGAATGTATGTAATTACTTTGCTTTCATTAATGGAATTGGTGGAGGAAATATCAACTGCAACAGAAAGTAGTGAATAAACAGTGGAGGTGATATGTCTTATATTAATAATATTTCATATTTTCTGACCACAACTTACTACTGGAGAATTCTTCATTCATCATTCCCTTCTGCCCCCTTTTCCTGTCTATCTTTGGCTGTCACTGTGACTTAAAGGCATAAAATGGCAGAAAATAATAATAATGTTAAAAAATAAGGGTTAAACACTGGTTGAGTACACTAACTCACTTGAGAATGTCTACAGGTATGTTCAAATAAATAACTTGAATTACCTTTGGGGTTCCCCAAGGCTGTGTCATTTGTGTTTATTTTGTTCAAAGTGGATATTTGCAAGCTTTACGAAACATTAAACTTAGCTTTTTATGCAGATGACACAAATGTATTTTGCTGTGGTAAGAACCGTAAACATTTGAATACGAGAGAAAAGGAATTAAAACTGTATACTGTATAAAATTAAGGATTTCAAAACTCAGGCTTCATTATGCACGGTTTTAGATTTCCATACAGTACCAACACATTCTCACTCCACCTTGGTCAGTGGCCCTCTGCTTTAAAATATAAGACAATGAGCTTTAACGTCTAAAGTCATTTCTGGACGCACAGGGCTCTGAAGTCAAGTTAGCAGTAATAAATATGCAACATCTGACTTTCAAAATAAAGTTTAACATTGTTAAACGGTCGCAGTTTGGTTACACAAAAACGACTTGTTTAGGATTCGGAAAATATTGTAATTTACGTTACGTACCAGATGTAACTTAAGTTTGTTAAGTAGGTTAACTTATGTTTACATACATGAACAACAACAGGTGTTTGTCCCCATATGTGTACTTCCTCACTCTTTATACTATGTCAACTGACTTTGATGGCAGGCACACACAGAAATGACACCTGAGTGATAACTACATAGGCCACTGGGGCCACTGACAGACCGGCAGTATTTGATGACTTGGGAGTAGGGATGCACCGATCCACATTTTTTCACTTCTGATCCAATCCCAATACCTGAATTTGGATATCAGCCGATACCGATACTATTCCGATACCAGAGCTGTGTTTGCTTTAATATTATTATTATCATTAGTGTTGATTTTATATGAGGCTGAAATAAACTCTCAACAGGCAAGTATGATATGTACGTATGTATGCATGTATATGGATTTCTAGCAGTTTAGACGCTTCTAGATGATTACTGCCCTCCTCAGGAAGTCACTCTAAGGATAATGTCTTCAAATGTTCATATATAGCCCTGTATCGTGTAAGAACTGTAATACTACTTTAACAATCAAGTGGTGGTTCTCATTTTGACCCAATAATCCTCGTGCTCTTTCGTGTGGTGCTTTTTTAAACGTTTGATTGCGTTCGTAGTGTTGTACGACGCGAGGGAGCTTCCACCTCTCTGAATCACGGCTTTGCTAGCTGGCTGCAAACTGCGGAATGGATTTCCTGAGCGGGGGTGTGTCTCATAACTCTGTGTCTCATTGAGCCGCGCCTTCGTTCAGGAAAACCATCCCACAGTTTGCAGCCAGCTAGCAGACAGGCCAGCAGGAATCACTTGTGGAGTCATTTCAGCAGACAACGTTAAAGTGCAGACATGGCTCATTGATATCGGATTTCTCCGCAGGTTGGATCGGGAAAATCCGATATGTGAATTACGCTGGTATCGGTCCCGATACCAATACTAGATCGGATTGGCCCCATCCCTACTTGGGAGTGAGACCAGGTTGCCCATACATTACTTATTATGTGGAAGAATGGAGGAAATACATATAAAACAACAAAAAATCCAATTAAAATGTTTCAAAAGGGAGCTAGAACTAAATGTATCATCATATAGTGAGTTTCTGATATGCCAAAACCAGAAGTAGTCTCCAGTAATAAATAACATACAAACAATACCAAACAATAAACATCCCCATAGAAGTTCTTACTGGCTACTGTTAGCTTAGTTATGCTAGCCACAATTTATAACAGCAAATGGTGAAACTCACTGGAGCGTAGTACCTCGGTACTGTTTAGAGCCCAACTGATATGTTAGTCAGCCATAATATTGAGATATTGGCCTATCACAGACATATCAGCATTGCATCGGTTTTGGTGTATATGTTATTCTATGTGAATAGTTTTTTTCTTCAGTATATAATGCAGAAAAAATGCTTGTGGTAATATATTGGTGTCATCACTAAGTTATCCAGCAGAGTGCACTGTGCTTTACAATACTGTGACAAGCAGCACAAAGAGAGAAGAAGCAGCTCTCAGCAGTGTTATATCAGTGCATAATCCTGCAGAAATGTTCTATTTTCTATTCAACTCAAAACAAATGATTGACTTTCCCCTCTAAAGTCATTATTGTCTTAAAAATCCTGTATCGGTCAGGCTCTAGTACTGTTACTGTAGCTACCATCAGCTGGGTCAGCCTGGCCTACTGTAACTAGATGACTGTGTGTCAGTGTTTCAGATACTATCCAGCTCCTCCTGCAATTTCTCAGTCTGTCTCATCTAACCACCAGCATCTGACTAAAATAAAATCCATCATATAATCAGGCACTGCATCCACCTGATTGATCTTTTCTGAAGTCACTGTCTCTACAGTTTCTCCAAAGACAGCTATTTTAAGTAAACACAATTAACAAGGTTGCACAAACCAAGTGTGACAGACTGATACCAGCTAAAGGCTTTAAGTTTCATTTCATGTCTGTCTAGCAAACACTTCAGTACACCTTCCCCAAGACTGTTCAGGATAATGGCTGCTGATGGTGTTAGCCAACAATATACTGTTAAGATTTTTCAATTATGTATTAAAATTGGTAGATGGTCTTTGCATCACCAAATTTTTTTCTGCTGTGACATGAGTCTAAAGGATCATGTTCTGGTACTATAAAGAACCCTTTTGTTATGAGTGTATGAATCAGAGTGGATCCAGGGTGCCTCCTGCTGGAAACCTTTATCTACAAATGAAAACTCTCTATTCCTTACATGTACAGTATCATATTAGTGAAGCCTGGAAGAGAAATTTGGTGGTTGTTTCTGGTGTTGAATACTATCCACTTTTGTTGAAGACTTGTTGGTGTGCATCATTTACAAGGCCAATATAATTAGGAATTTGCTCTATAATTTAACTGATCTACCAATTGAAATTCCATAAATAGTTTGATTCAAATCACTTAAAACAGTGTCAGTAATTCACCATTGGAAATTGTGTGTTGTAAAAGGGATACAGTATAAATGCAGTATTCTTTGCACATTGAGTGTGTGATATTTTTGGGGTTGTAGAAACTGAATACATCAGTCTTTTCTCTTCCTCAGCCATTGTGTGCAGCCGAGAGGCCAAGACGCTTCGTCCTCAATCTATTTCCCAGGCTGGGGCTCCGGGTTCCAGGTCCCCTTTAGTCGCTCCCTTTTTAGCCTCCTTTTTACCTTTCTCAAACAATGGATCCTGCCCCACTCTAAGCAGTAGCCCCCCAAACACTCAGTGAATAAAGTTAGTCCAACATGCGGCCCTTAAACCCACCCCGAGACTGCTGCCAGGCAGCCACACTCGCAGAATTGTTTGTTAATAGTCCAATTAGATAATTGCCATCTTTCACTCCTTTTTCTCTCTGCTTCCCATAAAGACATGAATGGCACTCAGGGAGGGGGGCAGCTTGAAGAGGGCTTCTGGCCAGCTAAGGTGACAAGAAGGGCCAGAGAATGCTCCTTGCAATAGGCCACTAGTTTGAATTGAATCATTGTGGCCTAATCAATGGTCTTATTGGATTACTGGCCACTGCTGTGTTCAGAGATATTGTTGCACTGACAATGAAAATAGCTAAGAGTTGGTGGTTGGGTGGGTGGCTAGTGGGCTGGAAGGCGAGTGGTGGAGAGAGGTAGGGGCCATTCCAGAGGTATGCGCGAGTAAGAGAGAGAGTGTAGGCAGCCTAAGCACTAATGACAAGTTTTGTTTCCCTTTTTTGTCTTTTTCAAATGTGCAGGTTAAGATTATGAGAGCAGAAGATGGCTTCTGGGGTGCAATCATTTAAATACTGAAGGATGTGGCATTACCGGCCAGGACTTTGCTGGGTTGCTCTGCGTAGCTCTCTGAATGAAAGCAGGATGACACAGGAAACTTTAACACAATTCCCGTTAAAGCAACTGGCTGGGTCATTGCCTTCATAAATTTTGATCGACGTGGATTTGTTAGTTATTCTTTTCACCTCTCTCTCTCTCTCTCTCTCTCTCTCTCTCTCTCTCTCTCTCTCTCTATAACCCCCCCCATGTTCTCTCCCAATGTGTCTTTGCCTACAATAGCATAGTGGCGAGATCCACACATTGCAGAATTCCGTCGATTGGTGTGAGAGCCAAGGGAAAAAACAGGATCAAAGTTCGCTGACATGCTATGGCAATCAGGTGCGCTGTGAAAAGTTGGGGGGAAAAAAAGTCTAGCCGTGTTCTGCGGACGGAGGAATGAAGCACCCGGGAACTTTTTTCAGGTCTGGAAGAGACGTACCTCTGTGATTGTGTGCGTTCATGTGGGGTACAGGGAGGCTTGGTTGCGAGACAAGACCAATCATTTGTCTTGATTCTCTGGGCTGAGAGCAGGCAAACTGAGGGGGACGGGACGAGCAAATCCCCTATATCAAGACCTGATCTATTTCCCCAAACAATTTAGTGTATTCATGAGGTTACGCAAATGTGGAGGCAGCAAAATTACCGTAATCAATTGAAACAGCGAGTGCGCATCCATGGCTCTGATTATTTGGAGATCATCTATCAGCCTGATGTCTATGTAATGAGGAAAGGGGGGCATTGAATTACTGTTGAGTTTCACTGAGAAGTCCATGATCATTGGGCAAGGGAGTTTGGTCAGTGATAATAGGGCTCTTTGGTCGGGCGACGGAAGTATTTCACCAAACATTAGATAGCTGACTCTGCCCTGCTGAAAGGTGCTGTTTTGAAACTAAAACCCACACTGTCCAGACGATCTGGTGCACTGTGTTCTCCGTAATCTCCTTTTTTTTCACCTGACAAAGGAAAAAAAGAGGCGGACAAGCTGCAGGTCCAAGAGGATAAACTGAGCATGGAGGTCAGGTACAACCAAGAGACGGAAGGGATGGGGCTGAAGAACGGACTAAAGAAGGGGAAAGATGAGAAGGACTCCCAGGGCAGCTTGTCCAAAAGCTTCCTCAAGGAGCAGCAGGACTCCTTTTCCCCCTCTGGGACTGTGGACAACTGCGAGAAGAACAGGGGGAGCACGGGAGACCCGGACTACTGTCGGAGAATACTAGTCCGAGGTAAGGCTTGTGGTCTTTCTGTTGTTTTCTTTGTTTTTTCAGAACTTATAGTGTCATACTTCAGAGATTATACAGATAAATCTGAGGAAACAAACATTTTGATTTTAGAATCAGAAATATTTAAAAAAAAAAGTTGAAAGATGAAGCCTTTGTAACATCAGATGGTGGCTGTTGATACACAGAGAGAAAGCTGATTATTCATTTTTTTAATTAGGAGGCTTACATTTAACTTATAAACTTAAAGTTAATATCAAAATATGCCTTTAAATGAACAGCAAAAAATCAATTATAATGACGATTTGTTAAATTTATATATGGATATATGGAGCCTATTTAAAATAAAGAGGATCACCTCTGGGAATTAGTTTTTTAGAGTACAATTATAGGAACATAAAAATGTAAGAGAATTAAATTATTTATCATGAAAAAGAGCAAAATATTATTAAATGTATCTTTATTTTGCTGCATTACCACAGAGGTTTTTTGTGTTCATTTTGGTAATTATTTGTAAACACTATCATAACCTAAATCTTTCTTCAGATTTCACACTAAAGTAAATGTTAAATGTGCTAATGTTAAATTATTAAAAGTGCTTCATGTCCCTTTGTAAATTTAAATGTGTGCAAGGTGATACATTTAAGCAGAAAAGCCTACAGGGTTTATGCTCTATGCACTACAGTACAGTTCAAGGGTGATTTATTAAAATATAAATAATTAAAGACGTGAAAAAAATTAGATAGAAGTTTGTAATTATGTATATTTAATGTCAACAAATCATACATGGAATTGTGTGTGTGTGTGTGTGTGTGTGTGTGTGTGTGTGTGTGTGTGTGTTGTGAGTGTCAGTTGCCCAGGGAGTCATTTACGTAATTTCCTTCATGCAGTGTTGGCCCAACACTAAGAGTGTGGGAAAAACAAACTATAGTAAATATAACTTCACCAGAAACAGGATTAGTTATGCCACATGTAATGAGACTAAATATATATAAAGGTTTGCTGTTGAAATATTTGATTGGACAGTCAGTTAATATGTTTGTTAATAATAAAATAATGATGAATGGCTTAATCACAGCACTGCAACCACTTGTTTTCAGCATGATTTAAATTATAGTCAATTTAATATTGTATTAATTAAAAAGAAAATTAAGCAGAGTTTGAGTCTATCTTAATATGATTTTGATGGTACAAAAGCCCCCATTGTTGTAATATTCCTCTTCTGTAGTAATGTGTGGATTAAATGAATGAACTGAAATGGAACCACAACTTTTTAAATATTTATTTCATATTTTTTTATGTCACTTATTAGGACGACACATTTTTAAACATTTGACTTGAACTTGAATTGATGACATATAATACGAGTTTTCTGTTCATGGGATTTAATATGTCAGATTAAATATATGATATTTAGCCACTTAATTAAAAATCTAGGGTGTAAACTCATAGATGCAATACATAATTTAAACAAACAGTATTTGTCTAGGTACATTATGTTGGATTTAGTCCACATACAATTACGTTCAATATAGTGAATAAAATCAGAATTTGGCTTATTATTATGATTATATTTGTATCTCTACTACTGTGTTGCCTATAATAATAATAATAATAATAGTAATAATAATAATAGTAGTAGTAGTAATAGTAATGTGTGTCATTATGAATATAAAGCCAGTCTACACCTATAAAACATTGCAATTATGTGTTCTATTGTTATTGAGTTGCACTCTTTGCCTCAGCATTGTTAATTTAAAGTGCTCATTATTGCAGACGCTAAAGGCTCTATCCGGGAGATTATCCTGCCTAAGGGTTTGGATTTGGACCGGCCTAAGCGAACCCGCACCTCCTTCACTGCGGAGCAACTCTACCGGTTAGAGATGGAGTTTCAGAGGTGCCAGTATGTGGTTGGGAGAGAACGGACTGAACTGGCCCGTCAGCTCAATCTGTCTGAAACTCAGGTGTGTATGCATTGTACTGCGAGATTGGATTTATTCTGTGCAAACTGGAGAATCATGATGGATGCTTTTATTTGGAACTGAAATAGCTGTAATGTGTAAATTTAAGTCATTCCCTTTATCTTTTTACACCAAATACTGCCATCTTTTTTTCTCTTCATGTTACAATCTATTAGGATCACTTGCTTTGTCTTGTAAGAAGCTGAATTTACCCACATAATCAAATTCACTCCACTTCATTTGTGAGCCCTGACACAAAAAATCATTAAGTCAGACAAAGCAGTTTGTGTATTTTAAAAGATGCAATCTTTTATTTTTTTTTTACATAAAATTAAAGGATTTAATACTTGCATACATAAATACAGAGACGAGATGGAAATAAGGATTTTTTGTTTTGCTGATCATTATTTAAAATAAACAAGCACTACAGATATAAACCTTTAATGGCAGCAATAATCATTAAAAACCTGCAGCTGTTGTTGAGTGCTAGTATAAATAAGAGCACTGGGGTTTACATTTAGATCATTGATTGTACTTTTAATTGTATGTATCCCTTTAAATTAATTAATTGGCTTTCTTAACAAATAGCTTATGTAGTGTTTATTGTCTGAAGCTGCTAAAACGAAAACTTCCACCTGAAAAGCCTTCCTCCTCCTGTCATGCATGTGGGGTCAGTGGTGGGTCACGCAGTGTCCGCTTTGGATGAACTGCATTTGCACTGTGTTGAACACCAGATTCCAAAGCAAGTCACCGGGTCACCCTGTGCAATTCAGACTTAAGGGAACCCCTGGCCGTCTGCCTCAAACTGTCACTGCATTTTCAGCTCGCGTTTCACTCATCTATTTATTTATTTCTGAAAACGTGCTAAACGGCTAACAGCGCCATCGGCTTGGTCTTTGGTGCTAATGTGTTGTAGCTTTCAGCACGGCTCTTACAGACCTCTGCTCAAGGTCAGCCTTCCCTCACAAAACAGCACCACAACTGACAACTTGAATCTGTTTGTTGATGTGCAACAAGGTCACTGTTTCTTTGATTAACAGCTCTGTAAATTTAACTTTTTTAAGTTTTGAAATCTTTTAATATTTTTCTTTTGACACAATTGCTGCTTTTCTTTTTTTCACATAAATTCAAAACAAGTTAATTAAGTGTCTGAAAATGTGATTCTGCTCACATAAAGGTAATATAGAAAACCTTTGCTCCCTATTTAGGCAGGACAAAGGCATCAGGATTTTCTTCCACTGTCTGCTTCTTATCTTGATGAAATGCTTTTTAATGGCAACCTGGTGAAATTAACATTCTGTTCCCCGGCACTCAGGGGTTGTTACATTAAGGCCATTTGCTGTGTGTGCACACCTAATCATCTTTGTTTGAGCTACCGGCTTCACCTTGTGGTTTTCATTGTGTTGAAAATGTAACCTCCAAAATGAACAAGATGTTCCTTCTGAGCAGTCGCAAATATTGGACTGAGCGGCAGGGTTTCTTCTCTGGGCATGAAATGGTTGTTAGCAGCTGGTGAAGAGTAAAACTACCGACTGAAGAGACAGGAAAAAGATATTTAAATGTGATTGGACTAGCAGTGGGGTTGTGCTGGAGTCTTGCTGCTGATTGGTATGTGTACATTTTGTTCCATATGAAAACAGTCAGGTGTGATTACAGGAGACTTCAAGGTACAGTTTATAAAGAACACTGTGTTTGTTTTAGTTTTGACTTTTTTGATTAATAAGATTATGTTAAAGTGAACAACGGATATGTCAGAATAATTGAATGGCTCAGTTGAGCCAAATTAATGACTTGATTGAAGGTGTTAAATTACAAGGTTGGTGCTCTAGCTACAGTTTAATAATTTGTGTCACTAACAGTGCATTTTTTTCTCCATCCTTAATGTTTGATTTATAGAAATGTCTGTGATGTCACTATATATTGCTGAATGAGGAAACACAATGGCCTATGGCCCACTGATGAAAGCCCTTGGATTTGCAGTAACTAGTAAAAGTAGAATTTCTTTGTTTTATTTTTACACCTTTATTTGACAGGGATAGCTGAATATTACCAGAGAGGTGGGATGATTTGCAGCAAAGAGTCACAGGCTGGACTCAAACCCAGGCTATACTGCAGTAAGGACTCAGCATTAGTACCACAGTCGCACACTCTACCGGGTGAGCTGCTTGGGGACCCCAACAACGGCCGTTTTTTTTTTTTTTTTTTGCAGCAGGTCAGTTTGGAATATTGCAGAAACTGTGGAGCAACCACAGTGAGCCGTGAGAGGAAGAGCTGCAGGCGACAGACTGCACACCTTCAACTTCTCAGTGACTTAGTAACCAACTCCTGTCACTGGTCACAGACTCAGGCCTCGTGCAGCTTCAGGCATTAAAGGCATACAGCATGTGCAGCATTGCTCAATGAATGGTGGTATTATTGCCTGATTTCTTTATTAAAATTACAATAGTTTGTATTGCTGCCCCCACAATCCTATGACCTGTAGTATTAAACCGCATTTGCTGTTACAATTAGTAACAACAGGTGTCGCAAAATCATCCAGGACTGAAATCTTAAGGATTTTAAGCTCAAGAATATAAGGAATGGGTTTTTTTTCCTCTTCATCTTGATACTCCATTTACTGCTGGATATATACTATAAATGTCTATATAATATCTTTAATTCAAATGAAGTGGAAATCTTTACATTTTTAGAAACTATATTAATAATCAGTCAGATGTTTTCATATTCCTGACAGGCTTTGTTGACTTTTAAAGAGGCTAAAATGTGTAAAATTTAGGATTTCTTTATTTCCATCGGCTATTCTATGTAAGTCTAAATGTACATTTTCAGGGCCAGGAAATCCCAGGGTGCTAATTAAAAGAATGTCACTGATGGTGGCCATTTTGAATTTGGAGGCAGAGAAAAGGACCATTTGCGGGACAAACTTTGGGCTGCCAATTGCAACTATTTTCACAATCAAGAAATGTCATTTATGAATGTCATTTCTTTTCCAATTAGTCCGCAAAATGAAAAAAGCAACTTTATATTGGTTGTATATATAGGCTAGATAATGTAGTGATGTAAAACAGAGAAAAACTGCAAATCCTCAAAAAAATTATTGATAATCATAAATATAAATATATAAAATCAAACAATGAGGAAATTTACTGATGATGAATTTTCTGTCAATTTCTAATAATATTTTCAGCTCTAAATAAATAGCATCATACAACAATTTTGCTACACAATCAATAACAAGCGATACTAAATAAAACCAATAAACAATCAGATTATTATTAGAATTATTGTGCCAGTTCTATGTGGGTTTCAAGTGACAGTTAACAGTGGGAGCTGACTATTTGGATCTCAGCTCATTTTTTTTGTTGAAAGTTAAGCAGTGGTTTACATATGAAAGGCTATCTGTGAGCAAGTTCTGATTGAATTAACCTCCCGCCTGTTAGTGTGAGCCCTCTCCTCCATGACTGAATGAAATCACTGCAGCTTTTGATCTGTCAGTCTACAATCATCACCTGGTGGACCACTTTTATATGTGTGTGTGTGTGTGTGTGTGTGTGTGTGTGTGTGTGTGAGCATCCCTGCATATATAGCTATACATTATCTGAAATGCATGCAGCGATTGGGTGGGGGATGGACTGATGCTGTGCTCCTTTTGATTTGTGAACAATAGTGTTGGGTAAAAGTAATCAACTTAATCTGTAAAGAGACACTGTTGTATAGCTCATGGTGCAATTATCTCCAAGTATCGAGATTATCAGATCATTGCTACACTACGATCACAAACCCTTTTACAGCAAGTAGCAGTTCCTGAATTATTGCAGGGGACTTTTCTTATTGCCATACCACCAACATTAGAAGTTTTTTTCAAACTAATGCTGTTTTGAGAATTTTTAAATTCACATTTTCCATCCCGTACAGGCAATACTTATACTTAACTTAACTTAATATATTTATTTATTTCTAAAGGTTCTCATCTGTGTCCCTCTCCAGGTGAAGGTCTGGTTCCAGAACCGACGCACTAAGCAGAAGAAGGACCAGGGGAAGGACTCTGAGCTGCGTTCGGTGGTTTCAGAAACAGCGGCGACCTGCAGTGTTCTCAGACTGCTGGAGCAGGGTCGGCTGCTGACCCCTCCAGGCCTGCCGGGCCTCCTGCCCCACTGCGGCAGCGGCACGCTGGGCTCTGCCCTGCGCGCTCCCTCTATGGCCATGGCCAGCAACGGCAGCAGTAGCAGCAGCAGCAGTGGTGGCGGCACCAGCACGGCAGGCGGCAGCCCTCCTCTACCCGCCGTCACCAGCTCAGGAACAGTGGCGGGCCTGCAGAGCTCACCGGCAGCTCATGGCCTGTTCAGCTTTCCCATGCCCTCCTTACTCAGCGGCGTCGCCACCCGCATTTCCTCTAACCCCTTGTCCATGGCCGGCTCACTGGCTGGCAACCTGCAGGAACTTTCTGCCCGCTACCTGAGCTCCTCTGCTTTTGAGCCTTACTCGCGGACCAATGGCAAAGAATCCATGGACAAGAAAATTCTGGAATGATGCTTTGTTTTTACATAGATGGATTCTTGTTTCCTCTGGACACGTTTTGGTTGTTTTCTTGGCTTTTACTGTCTTTGTTTGGTTTTGCTCATTCTCTTTCATCTGTCTGTGTCATGTTCTGTAGCAGTTCATGTATTCCAGTTGCACATCTGGCACCTTGTGCAAGGAAGAAAACAAAGACCTACACAAGCTCATCTAACAAAGACAGGGAAGCAGTAGAAAGATTTTGCACAAAATGTTCACGTAGGACTTTGTTACAGAGATTTAGACAGACTAAGGAGATTACTGAGGGACCTTTCAGATTTCTGTGAAACAAATGTCCAACCAATTATTTCAAAATAACAACATACACAACCCAGAGAATATGGCTGCTTCATACCACAAAAGCTCTATTACTGCAAGAGAAGTGGTAAATAGTGTATAGCAAGAAGTATAGGATTGGTGACATAAAGTGTAAAGTGAAGGTACCTTTCTGAATTGTGTTTAATTATTTAATCGTGTTGGGTAGATGCATGTCACTGCAGTGAATAGATGTAGAGAAGGAGAGCAAGTTGTCAAAAACCTGAGCAGCAGTTTGTGAGATCCAATCAGCAAATAAAAAAATCATATAAAAACTTTTAAATGCAGCATTATGAATGAACAAGCAAGGCCGATTTCTGCGTAGAATTGGGGAAGGAAAAAAGTGCCTCCAATTGAAGGTCAATGCAAGGCCAGTGTCAGCACCGAACCCAGTGCATTTGATGCGTGAATGCCATTTGCTTATGCAGATGCCTCACAAAAAATTTGGCTTACAAAAAAGGTCTTTTGTATATCCATTTGTATTAAGTTTGGACTGAACCAAAACATAATCCAGAGAAGGTGTTGTCATACAGTATGATGGTTCAATTGTTCAGTGTTGTTTTCTCTATGGTTTGGTGAGGATTTTAACATTCTACAACGAAAGTCTTCACTTTGTGGCATTTTCGTCTTCAAGATGCAGTACCTGACTTTTCTGTCTGTGATTTAATACCACTGTGAGTTCTCAGAGTTTTGCTGTACAGTTTCTATTCCATGCAGGAGCTAAGCGCAGGAATAAGTTGCCAAAAGGGTGGAGTCCCGAAGAAAAGCTTTTCAGCCTTAGTAAGCTGCTTGCTTTGTTGAACGCTACAAGGTAACAGGTTTTTTGATTCATTAAGACAATATAATAACCGTTTCTTCCTGTGCGAAATTTTCAAAAATCTACAGCCTCCATAAAAGACTTAGGCAGACTGATGCATGTGGAGACTGAATGGAATTATTGTAGTATAAAAGTACTGGAAATGAGAAATGTACCTTAAAATTGTTATTTTATTGTAAATTATTCACTTCTGTAATTAATAGATTATTAGTATAATAAGTAAAATAATTAATGAATGAATGTATTAGTGGGGTTGAGGAATCAATCAAAAGCTCTTTGGTGCTGTTGTTGTGAAATATCTTGAAAATTGTGAAATGTGTGGTACAAATGTTCATATATATTATGTATATGGCTACAGACAAAGACAAGTGTGTTTTTCATTTTTCTTTCTAAATGTTGCTATGAATCAAGTTGTGATAAATTTCATGACTGTTATACCTCATACACCACAGCCTGATGTGTATATGCTCCTGACGATCCCCCCCCCCACTAGTTTAGGTCATGCGACTATTACCACTAATCAGGGCCCATAAGGGGGTAAAAAGGGGAAAGCTTTCTCTGGCCTAGCCGCTTGGGGGGCCCATGGAGGGCAGTAATACAATAGAATACAACAGAATATTCAATTTCAATTCAATTTTTATATATATTAATTATAATTATATATAATATATATTTATTGTCTTGGAAATTTGTCTTCAGCTCACCAAAACAAGATACATCATAAAAATACTGACACGCTGTTAGAAAAACAAGCACATAGAGAAGGTCACATAACACATTTAAGGACAGTTCATGTCAATGTCTATGCCTTAAATCTCAACATCACTTTGTAGAGTTAAGAATATTAGTGCCACTTGGGATGAAGGATTTTAATCGTTTTCATACTAAATATAAGAAACCAAATTTTATTTTGAACCAAAATAAACATTTCATTTATTGTTGCTTTAGTAAGTAGCTACTATAATGAAAAGCCCCTCTCCTAGAAATAGAATTAGTTATTGTCAAAAACAAGAAAAAAGCACACGACCTGAGAAATGTACTGATTTAAACTGGCAAGTTTTGGATTGAATATCCTTACTTTTGCTGGACCTGTACATAAATCAGGATACCAGAAAAAAAAGGAGGAAGCTGGCAAGGGCTTTAGACCCATATAATAATATAATATAACTTATAACCAACTTTTTTCAGTCAGCTCAGAAAGCTACTCCAAGCCAGGCTGAATGATTGCCAACATTACAGCTAACGTTACTAGCCATGAAGTAGCTAGCATCATTGAAAGAGGCGTAATTTTGAATCCCATTGTTTTTAATGCCAAGACACGCCCTGCATAGCATTTAAGCGCTAGGAGTAGCCAGGTGCCCATGCTCAGATTAAAAAAAACACTTTGGTTAGGTTTCTGCAACAAACCTACTTGGCTAGGTTTAGGAAAATATCATGGTTTGGGATTATATAGATGCTTTCACAACGTTAACCACTTGTCATGTGAGCATGGGCACCTAGCCAATCAGTGCTTTAATGCTACACGTGTCTCTTACCATGAAAAGCAGTGGGATCCATAATAATGCCTGAAAGAGCCACTACCACATCTATGTGCCTATGTAGCCCCCGTCATTGAGTAGGTGTATGTCTCTCTGTTTACATGTGTTGTATACAGGAGAGAGAGAGAGAGAGAGAGAGAGAGAGAGAGAGAGAGAGAGAGAGAGCCCCATTCATTCAGGGGCCTAGTCATTTCTGTAGGAGGGCCTGCGACAAATCTTTGACTAGAACAATATGTAAAACTTGTGGTTAAAAGTCAAACTAATAAAATAGCAGCATTACAAATTAGCGCTTTGAGTGGTTGGAAGACTAGAAAGGCACAAGTACAGTCCATTTACCATTTACAAATTGGAATGAGAAGTTTAAGAAATCAGTTATACAGGAGTATAGCAGTCATGACATTGCGATCAGTGGGAAGTTCTGAATGGAATACTTTGATCAGGACTGCAACAAATTACTTTATCACTTAATCTGAAAATTATTTTCTTGGTCAGGAAGCAATGAAAAACGTTCCAATGACTGAGGTGACATCTTCAGACGTCTTGCTTTTTCTGGTAACAGCCCAAAGATATTACATTTACAAAGATCTAAAAGAGAGAAAGGCAGCGAATCCTTACAGTGGAGAAGCTGGAATCACAGTAGGGATGGGATAATATACAATATTATTGCATATCGCGATAAAAACATCCTGTGAATATCCTCACATGGCTTGACTTGAAAAGCTGTCTAGCTCCCTAGCATACAGTCCTATATTGATTTCCTGATTTATTCTGAACAAGGAGAGTCGACATCTTTGCAGTCATTCCAAAATCCTAATTTTGTCTCCAGGCCCAGCTTGTCTGTAGTATCCCACACAAAAAACGGTTAAACCGGATTCATGTAAATAGTATAAATTCCACAATACAGAACAGGGAGATAAGGCAATCTGTGAGGCAATAAATATATGTGTTTCTTAACTGAATGTAAGGTAAAGTGATTGCATTATGTTTTAGTGCCATTTTAATAATATGAAGTACATTTTCATGATTATTGTGATATTATTGTGTATTGATTTATTATTTTGGCCTTACTTATTATCTATTTACTTATTATAAATACTTATTTTTAGATAATCTTGAAATTACTTTTTCATATATCGTCCCATGCGTTACTCAGTAAAAACATATTAATAAACTATCAAAATAATTCCCTATCAATTTTCTGTCAATTAACTAATCAATTGATTATTTGTATCAACTCTAGATTTTATATTTGCCTTAAATGGTATAGCTACTAGTTTGTGACAAGTGGAACAAAGATACGGGCAAAGGTAAAATCCCAGTGGTAATGGGGGCACTCCCTTTCACCGTTTAAAAATACCATCTTTGTCCTGCTGATACTTACCCACTAAAATCTCTTTGTCCAATTGTATTTACCCAGAAGACAGATGAGGAGGTGATCAAAATGTTGATATGCTCATCTTCACAGTGACTTCACAACAATAAGCTGTATGAGCAGCAGCAAACGCTCAGCAAACTTTTTCTGCCCTCAGTTATTCTTCTCAGGCAGGGTGCACAAATCCTGTGATTGGTAGAGGATGTTCTAACAACCTGACGAGGATCCTGAATACAACGTTCAGGGCTGAAAATTACCTTGATGTTGTATCCATCAAAGCTAAGGAAGTGAAGGACAGTGTTGTTTTTAGTATAGGGTCTCTTTAAATAAGTGCATTAGTAATACAGCATTTTGACATTGTTTCTGTTTTCGTGTTGGACAATTATTAATATTATAGAAAGAACAAATATCATCATACAGAGTAGACTTAATTTACATGCAAGAAATATCATTCATACAGTTTGACCAAAAAAAAGCTTCCAACCTCATGTTTAAATCATTATAGTCTCCAAACGATCCATAAAAAGTTAGTAACTACTGGTCACTGGTTACTAAGGTCAATAATGAAATTTCATGCTCAATGCATGCTTATCTGTACACCTACTTGGACTGAGGTAAGAGTCCGTAACAGGACAATCCCTACTGAACTGTCAGGAAAGGAACTGGATGAGCCCAGTGCACAGCTCGACAGCTTTGCTGGTTACACAACAACTCCCTTGGACCATGACAAGACCTTTTTCAAACACACATAACAGACACGGTATCTGACAACAACGTCATCATCAGTGGTTGAGTATAAGATAATGTTTGGTCCACAAGATCAGGTCAGAAAATGGTGAGAAATGTTTCCCCAAGCCCAAGGTGATGTTCTTAAATGATCCTGTTTTGTACACAACCTGAAAATATTCCGTTTACTGTCATAGAGAAACCAGAA